TTTTTAAATATCAGTCTTCCTTTTTATTCTTTTTATTTTCTGTTTCTCTCCCCCATAGGAGATAAAGTAAAAAAAAAAAGATAAAAAATAGTTCGAGTGAGAGTAAAACGATCGACTTCTTACCTCACGATTCAGGGGCTTTGCTAACTTGATGGCGCCTGTGCGTGGGTCGACTACAAAATAGTCGGTGAGTTGTATGCCATACTTCACTGGCGATCCTTCCGGATCGTAGCCCTTTAGGACGAACACAGACGTGCCAACTTTCGTCGATTCTGATAGAGGTAAACCTGTAGGGTAACCTCCTGCTTCCAGTATTGGTGGTTCGTTCACATTGTTACCACCTGAAACATATACAATTATTTTCATATTAAAATAACTCATTATCATTGATGCATTCATTCATTGCAATTAACGTGAAATAATTCTATAATATTGTATATATATAGGGTGTTCTATTTAAATTGATCAACTTTAAATATCTTCGAAATTATTGATGGTAGAAAAAAAATGTATTAGACAAAAATTGAATGCTTCGAGGAGGCATATTATTTGATAATAGTTTTTTCTTGTACTATATAAAAGTACTAAAACACTTATGGCGAAAAATCATTACTTTATGAGATATTTTATCATCAATGGTTTTGAAGATATTTAAGTGGATCGATTTGAATGGGACACTTTGTATATATATGTTCAATAATATTAATTATTAAAACGATTTTCAACGTAATCAATGATTACGATTAAATCTTTCAATCGTATTCCTTTTTTTTTTGTAATTGTTAAATGATTTGTATAAATATATAATAATATTAATTATGTTATACCTATGAAGTTAATCGATGCGTATCAAAATGAATTCGTCGAGATGTTTAATAATACACGTTTATTAATGAATATTATAATTATTGTCTATATATAATATTGTGTGTTATTTAATATAATTATAATTAGTTATTATACGTTAACCGTAGAGAAATGTTTTAAACAGATTGTATATGATTAAATTGTTAAATTATTTTTAGATAAGTGTAATATATAAATGTAATATAATCTTATTATATATATTTCTAAACGAGACATGATATTATACTGCATGTTATATTGCATTCTAATAAAATGTTTGTGTATCATTTGTATTATATAATGAAATTAAAAATATTTCTCTTGTTAATTAATTAATATATTCTTTTTTTTCTCTTTTTCGATATTATTTGCGATAATTTTTATTTTTAAATTACAACGAACGATATGAAGCCTTATTATTGCGACCCACGAAAAAGAAAAAAGGGATGAAAGATGAAAGAAAAAATAAATTAAAATTTCGAACCATGGGAAAGTGGAAAGAAGGAGGAAGTCTTATAAGTTGAATCTTTCTTTTTTATCGTATAGTTATTATCTTATAAAAAAATTTATAAAAACGTTCTAGTAATATATTATAATAAAATAAAAGAAGTAGAAAAAGAAAAAGAATAGGGAGAGGGGGGCAGCCTAGATTTTTTTTTCTTTTTTTCATTCTTTATCTTTCTCTCTTTGAAGTATTGTAAAAAATAAAAAGAAAATTTAAAAATGAAACTAATAGAACCATTGGAAAGTTAGATACGAGCCTCGTAGAAAGAACCTATCGTAAAACTATTAGAAAACTTGTGAAAACTGGTAGAAAAGAAAAAGTTGGGTGTAAAGGGGAGGAGGGTTAGTGAGTTTAGGAAAGAAGTAATCATACCTTTGGTTGAGATACTTCGAAAAGTTCTTGTTTTTTTCTTTTTTATCTTTTTTTTTTTTGGAGAAAAAAGTCTTAGCAAAATTTCTATCGATGTAACATCAAAAGAATGTAACGCGTGATATTTTTTTCTTTTTTTTTGGGGGCGGGGAGAGTAGAGGGAAAGGAAGAAGGGATTTCTTTCTTATTTTCTTTCTCTTATTACTTTTCTATTTTCTATTTCGTAATAACATTTTTCCTTACTCCGAGGGGAATATAACGAATGGCAGAGAAACAAGTTTCCACGCATGTTTCTCGATTATCGTTAAGGATTGTAACGTCCAATCATTTTATTTCGTTACAAAAAATTGACAAAATGAAAGGAAGAAATAATCAAGGAAAGAAAATATAAAAGTACATATTCTCGTTTCTTTTTCATCGGTCATAGTTATATTCGAGAAACATGATGGTTCCCATTTATGTCACGTCTCGTTTGTGTATCGTACAAATTAAATATATATATGAAAAAAAAGAAACAATTATTATTATTATTATTTGAAAAGCTTTAATGATCAGACCTTTTCGATTTTTTGTTTTTTTTTTGTTTTTTTTTTTTATTTTTGTTTTTTTTTCTTTATTCACCAACTAATCCCGTTCCCATTTTCGAGAAACGAAACGAAGACCTTTTTTTTTTCGACATAGTGAGAAGCATTTTATCGGTCCTCCACTTTCCTCGTTTACGATACACGTATCTTCTCTCTTTCTCTCTCTCTCTCTCTCTCTCGTTTTGAAGAGAAAAATCGTTTCTTTACATAAACTCACGAAAGGCGAAGCCGTTCGGCTTTCACAAGCAACGAGCTTTCCCGTTATCATCGGCTCGTTTCACGGCTCCTCGTAAATCGAAATGGGCTTATTTTTTTTTTTAAAGTAAACTCGAAGAAAATAAAAACGATGGGGAAGAAACGAAAATGGAAAAGAAAAAAGAAAAAAAGAGGGGAAGAATTTTTTTAAATTTCATTCGAAAAAAAGAAAAATTAGTACCGATCGAATGAATATGATATTATGATACATTTATATATTATATTTTTGTAATAATTCCAAATTTATACAAAATATATTACAAAAAGTTATTAAAAGTTCTACGATTTAGATTCCAAAGAAACAAAAACAACAAAGGCAAACAAATTTGTAAAAATCAAATAATTCTTTTATTCAAATTTATATTTCAAGCCATATAAAATGAAAAAAAAATATATATACGTGCACATATACATTTTTTTCCTATCTATATCCCTACGTTTATCGATAAGGGTTATATTTTGTAAAGGTATATTGCAAACGCATATATCGTTCTTACGTTTACTCGATCGAAAGAAATTTACGATGGTTAGATGATCTCCAAGTTGTTGTACATGTATTCGATGTTATAAAATATACGATGTAACTGAAATACATCGTAAAACTATGGTTGTACTACGTTTTGTTGAAGACGAACTTCGATCTAATCCTTCTTGCTTCATCTATCTATCTACCTCTCTCTCTTTTTATTTATTTGTTTTTTCTTCCTCTCTTTTTTTCTTTTTTTCTATGTTTTTCTTTACATTTCCCCTTCGTTCCCCCCGATCGTTTCCTGTTCAAAGATATTACCATTACGTAGTAGTATAAGGTAGGACAGTATATACGAACTTTAATAATCTGATTGGTTTTTTCTGGTTCTAGCAAGAAAAAAGCCGGATATTCTCGTTTGATCGGTGAAAGATTTCAAAGTAGTGAAGATATCCCATGACTGTGGGGTCGGGGGGGGGGGGAGGGGGTTTGAGAAAAGTGTATTTTTTCCTTTTTTCTTTTTCTAATTACGAATAAACATCGAATAAGTATACTATATTCTTTTCATTAAAAAATTAAACAAGACAATATCAACGATCATTATTATTATTTCTTTTTTTTCAATTATTTCCTCAATCAAGATGATACACGAATAATAATAATAATAATAAAAAATAAATTGAAGTAAAACATTACGGATTATTATAGTTACACACAAAACGTTGCATATGCATATTATATACGAAATGTTTTCGAAAAATATGAGGATTGCATACAAAGAGTACCAATATTCAACGAAATAAAAGTTACAGTGGTTGGTATAGAGAGTATAGTAAATACTATTGAAATATATATAGTATAATAGTAGTTTTTTGGTAGCATACGCGTATATGGACTTACTTGTTCTCAGTCTCTAAAAAACTATCCATCTTTTTCTTTCATAGGTTGATGCACACAGTGTGCTTTTAAGGGAATTGCATTAACAAGTCTAAAATAATTCAACGTTCTTCAACTCAACGAAAAAAGGGAATTTCATTTTAGAGTTATGTCCCTTTCGAATAATACATTTTTTTTCCCCTTTCCTGTCCGTCAATCACTTTTATATTTACTTTATATACTTTGTGTGTGCGTGTGTTTTTATTTTATATATATATATGTTCTACTTTCCTAGCTTACGAATTTTATTTTGCATTTTTTATTTGCTCGTTTGTCCAATTTCTCATCCCCCCTCCTCCCAGCCTATAATCACGCTACTTTTATATTTTCTTTTATTATTATTATTATTATTATTATTTTTATTTATATTTTTGTGTACATCTCTTAAGAATTTGTATTTTATATTTTATTTGTTTGTTTGTTCGTTCATTCCCTTTCTATCTTTCTGACTTCAAACAAGAAGAAGAAGAAGAAGAAGAAAAAGAAAAAGTAGAAAAAGAAAAAGAAGAAGAAGAAGAAGAAGCACTTTGGTTGATGGTAAGACGAGGAAAGCATGTCTTCGAAAATCCGATTTCTTTCCTCGGCGAACCAATGAGAAGAAAGCTAGAGAGAGAGAAAGATAAATAGATAGATAGAACGAAAGAGAAAGAGAGAGAGAGAGAGAAAGCTTGGAAAGTCTGCTAAAGGCAGGCAAGCAAAATCTCTGCAATGTCGAGCTCGTAATGCACTTAACTGCATCGAAATCTTTCTTTGCCATTTCTTTGAAACGACAACCCTCCCTTTGAAGAGAAAGAGAGGGGGGGGGGAGAAATCTGATAATATTATTATATGGTAAATATACTTTAAAGTTTAAATTTCAAATTATTTATTCTATAACATATAGTTGTACATATCTAATTTATTTAAAAACATAATTATTCGTA